GGGTACTTTCCCGGTGAGGCCTACCTGCTCTTCCTCCACATCCGTAAAAGCGCACACCTTCTTGCCTTTCACTAGGGGCTCTCCGTCTGCACCTTTGGCCTTCACCAAGGACATGGGGCCGTGGCACACTGCAGCGACGACTTTCCCAGCACCGGCTGCCTTGGTGATGAAGTCACCCACCTCGTCTGTTGGGAAGTCCACGCATGTGCCGTGGCCCCCGGCGAAGAAGCAAGCATCAAAGGCTACTGGGTCCATGTCGGACATCTTCTTCGTGGCCTTGAGTGCTGTGCTGCCCTGCTCGATCATCCTCTTATCGTTCTCGGTCTTGAACTGGTCACTCAAGGAGCCGGCGTCGATGGGGATGTCGCCACCGGCGATCGAGCACACGGTCACCTCGAAGCCCTTGTCGAGAAAGGTGTAGTACGGCCCGGTGATCTCTTCACTCCATGCGCCGGTGTCGTGGTCACCCATTTTTGCGGCAGAGGTGGTCACGATCAAGATCTTAGCCTTCTTGGATGTCGCCTCAAGAGCTTTCTGCACATTCGCCTTGGCCTCGTCCGAAAGCTCCGTGAAGAGCTGTTTCAGATCCTCCCCTGAAGCCTTCTGCAACTCGGGCAAATGAGTGCTCGCTCCGCTGCCCATGTCTTTCTCCGGGAAGGCCGAGGACTTCGGATACGGCACAAGGGGCGCGATGAGAACTCAATGGCCGCACAATTGTCGAACACAGAATGGCTGTGCTGACATTCACAGAATTGCCTGTAATTCTGCCACTGGTGACAAGCCCTTCCACGATAAATCGCAAAATCATTCAATGGCTTCCTTGCCGGACTGTGGCCTCTTCTGTGATTTGGGATCGCAAGTGTTCTCAGTTGTCAGACTGCTTCTCGAATCATAAACCGTCCGCTAACCCGGTCTCCGTAGCCTGGCCTACGATTCTACTGAGCTGAACTGCCCAACTCTTCGTAGCAAGAAGACATGCCCATCAGTCGAGCCCAAGCGAACAAGCTGTAGGATAGTTGACATCCTTTTATAATCTTTTATATTGCATTAGCCATCCGGCGGTTCATTCCGCTTGACAATCGAACCCCAATCAAAGACCCTAAAATGACTTCAGTGTCATCCCCCCGCTTTACACAGATTATATGCTTATACCCCATACGCACGATCCTCGTGTTTATGTGCTCAGTTCGGTGTCTACTTAAAGTCGAAGAAAACCACCTGTTTCTTTTGCAGCTCTGTCCGCTCCCGGCAGTAGAAAAACGCTAAGCTCAAGCGCGGCTGCCGCGGGGGCGGCCCAACACCCCGTTCTACCTTGGTGTGCTTGGAGGGTCGGGGGACTTAGTAAGTAGGTAATAAGTAGACTTATAAGTACCCTATAAGGATCTTAATTGGGGTTATGGTACTTATCAGTATATTTATTCTCTACTTACCAAGTCCCCTGACCCTTCAAGTAGTGCTCTTGGATTGTAGGGGGATTGGGGTGAAAGGTCCAGGATCAGCTGGAGTAAACTAAGCAGGAAATCATGAAGACTTCCCCGGCCGAACGATTTTCCAGTTTCGAGCTAAAAGTTCACAAATGAGTAGATTTAAAGGCATGAAGTAGAGGTCAGGTAGGATGGCCATCACGGATTTGGACCTACCAGGCTAGGATCGCATGGAGAATTTGGGCGGCCGGCGTTTGGAGCAGGAACGCGGCATCCGAGGGGTCCGATGTGAGAATTTCAGGGTTTAGCCGTCTAGAATTTGGAATTCCCAGGCTACTTGGAGGATCATGGGACTTAGTAAGTAGGGTTATAAGTACCCTAATTGGGGTTATAAGTAATGATAAGTATAGTTACCCGAATTATAACCCTAGTTACTAAGTCCCATGAACTTTTAAGTAGGGTCGCATGGAGAATTGGAAAGGCCGGCAAGGAGAATTGGATACTCGCAGGCTGGGGCCATTGCAAACACCAGAATTTCAGAATTTTTAATATTAGGGAAATTATTTTGGACTGGGTGCGTATCGGGTCCGCCTACGGGAAGGCAACGGGTGCGTATTGGTATTTGCGAAGGAAGTACTCGCCCTAGCCTTTAGGTGATTTCACTCGCCTAGCCTGGGAGTTCTGGAATATCTTGCATGTTTCATTACTGTCTCGATCCGGAACTCCCACACCAAGCCAACGAAAACACGTAAACAGTCGCGCGTGGCGGCTAGGGCGAGTAATTGCTGTCTCGAAACCGGGTCTCCCAGCTAGCGGGTACCGGCCCTGTCCCATGCTTTTAGTTAGACGCGGACCCTTGCCTAGGAGAAGAAAATTCTAAACTCGAATTTCGTAAGATCAAGCCTAAAACCACCCGAAATCCCCCTAATACTGAATATTACAGGCCCAAAATCATTCTTTATATTTGGGGTCTTTATTAAATGGAATAATTCATTTATTGATTAAGTAATTCCGCCAAAGGGAGTCTCAATTCGTCGATCATGTAATATTGCAGCATGTGTGACTCCTGCGACGCCTGCTACAGCTTCTTCGGCTATTGCAAACGGACAACCTCCGCAACCAGCTGACACCGTACAACAAGGGGCTTTCTCCAGCGGTTCCGGCTCTTTGAACATACAACGCGTCATTGCACGGACCGGACCCCTAAACCCTAAACCCTATAAACCCTATAAGCCCTAAACCGACTCTGCTCTGGGTTTTCTGGGCACAGAAAGCCCAGAGTCGGTTCGTCATCTCCGAAGTCCGAAACCGGCATAAACCCTTACACCCTCAAACCATCACGCCTACAACCCCTAAACCCTGAACCCTTACTGTAAATCTTAGACTGTAGGGGCCTTAGTAATTCAATTAGGGTTTCGGGGTATAGTACACCACAGCAATAAGGAGTCCCCAAAATAGTAATATTGGTAGGCCCTATATTACGTACAAGACGCTAGATGTGGTGTCGGCCGCCACGTCCGCGCCGCTGGCAGCGCTTCGGCGAAGCGGGTTCCCGCCAGGAGAGCGCCAGAGGGGCCCTGAAAAGCATGCAGAGGGTTTAGAGTTTAGGGTTTAGGGCTGAAAGGGCAGGGCTTGTAGGGCTTATTTGGTTACAGAGGTTTGGGCTTAGGGCCTATCGGGTTTAGAGCCTTTTAAGGTTTAGGGAGCAGGTGGCAGAAGGATCTTTATCTATGGGATGTAGATTGACGCATGTAAATTTGGTACAGGTCTCCTCTGTTCGTGAATATTCATAGGACCAGGTTTCTTAGTTCGTGAGCTTGTGGTCGTTTGGGAGTTTGCTTTGGGGTTCACGGCTTGCCGTTTGTGACCAAGAGCTCATTCACAAGGCACGGGAAAAGGAGGCTTTATCAGGAGCGCCACATCCATGCCAAACCCCAAGCCCTGAGCCACAAATTCCCAAAAGTCTGAAGGCCCTCAAACCCCAATATGCCCTGAAACCTTAAACCGCAACACCCTGAGGCATAGTTTATGTATGGCGCATGTCAACCGGTCCAGGTTCAACCACATGTGGGGCCTATTAACCTTGCAGCGTTGGACAAGAAGGGGTTTTAGGGATCAAGGCCGAAACAGAAAGTTCCTGTCACCTTACACCCCTCCCAGACCTTCCAAAATCCCTTAATTCAGAGATATACCGTAATTCAGACTAGGGATCCTAGTATGATTTAAGGTATATTCCTTAATTAAGGGATTTTGGAAGGTCTGGGCTCCCAGGGGCCTGAGTCTGGATTTACAGTAAACCCTTTAAAGTTGGAAACCGGATTAAGGCCAAATAGTGCTGGGGTTCCCTATACATTACTCTTAAGGACTGAGGCTAAGGGGTTTCCAACTTTTGGGCTTCTACTGTAAGGAACCCTGGAACGAATCAGGAACCCTTGAAGGAACCCGTAGAGGAAGAGATGAAAAAGCTGGGAGCGCAGCTTCGTCTTAAGGAACTCTAAACCCTGGCCCTGATCCCAAGTCCCTAAACCCTTTTGAACTCAGACTCTAAGCCTTTGTTGCATCCTGACTTCTGCAAATCGCCTGAACATTGACTTCCAAAAGACTTAGCCCGATCGGTGCAGTGTCTCGGTCCCCCCTGGGTTTCTGCCTCTACAACCCCAAAACCTAATCCTCAGCGATGCAGCGGAGCCGCCGCTTCGGCACTTAGCTGGGTCGACCTTTGGATACTGAGCTCTAGGGTTCATATAACATATGTATGCACATATATACATGTGTATATATATATATATATATATATTAAAACTAATAATAATAATAATAATAATAATAATAATAATAATAATAAATTACTATTATGTCTGTGTGTCTGTAGAGGGTTTTCTCAATTATAGAAAATGGTGTGTGGACTCTGGGCTTGGAGTTCAGTTGGCATTCGGGTTGAGGGCCTGGGGCAGTAGAAAAGGCAAGGTAGCAAGATATCTGGGTAGTTGTCAAGATTAGGGTCCCTTTTGGGGTACCAGAAATTAAACCCTAAACCCTAAACCCTAAACCGTATTATAAACGGTACCCAAAACGGACCCTAATTTTGACAACCACCCATCTGATCTTCGGCTCGGGGCTCGAGAAGGGTTTCCGCAATTTTCGCGTTCATAGAGGCTTCCACAGGTTTCTAGAAACAACCCTCAGGTCTGGACTCTTAGAAGGCGCAGGTTTGAGTGGTAGTTTAAATGCTCATCGTCACAGCACGACGCACTCGATACTTCTCCCACGTGCGATTGGTACTTCTCGGAGCTAGTGTCCCATTTGGCGTCCTCTAAACCCCTTTGCAGCTGAGCTCTTCCTGTCAGCCAGCAATAAACCCTAAACCCACAATCCTCTGAGAAAAACTTCCATTTGCAGTCCTTACTATCATATCAGATAACCTGCTCGCCTCTTGAGTGACATCTTCTTCTGGTGATTTTTCAGTAGACCCTCACCTGGAAAACTGTACCAGGGTTGAGGGTTTATAGACCCTATAGATAAGCTGGAGACAGCCACGAACTTCCCACGTGTTTCTGCCATGCTCCGAAAGGCAGTGTTTCGGGCATGGCGCACAAATTGAACCCTCTATCTCTAAACCCTAAACCCTAAACCCTCTATCCGTAACCCTGAACAGTCATCTGACACCGTGTCTCTCAGGCCTCGGCCCCTAAAAACCCCAAACTCTACACTGCAACCCTCGAAACTCTGTAATGCGAAGGAAGTCATGGACACAGTAGTACCTACTAACTAAGTAGCAAGTTCAATGCACCCTGTTCGTCTGAATTCAAGCGGCTGGGATTGTTGGTCACGTAAAACAAGCACCAGATGCTCATAGAACCCATCAAGAATCAAAGACCCTGATGCCTTATAGCTTTATGGAAGCCTTGGCAAGACTTTTGCAAAAGCTCACGGCACCCTGCCAGCCACCTCGTCTTCCTGCGCCAAGAAGAAGCAGACAATGGCACCAAGACATCCTGGCAAGTTCATGCTCCGAGGCCTTTATATAGGGAGTGTGGGCTTAGGGTTTGAGGGACCCCATCCTTAGAATATGGCAAGGGGCATCCTCCCGACGGACGAGCAGCCGACTGCCACCGGCAGCAGGGATCAACAGCAAAGTGAGAGCAGAGAGGTCCTTGCTTTCAGGATTTTTGGATCGGCATTTGCACAAGGCCCAGGGTACGGGATTTGGCATGTCACACGACGGGTTGCTCTAGCTGATTCTTAATCCTATGTCATTCCCTGTCTAGTGTGACAGGCGTGGTACTTTCGGTATGTTCGCTAGTGCTACTGTGAATCTAGTTACTACTGCCCCCTAAAGGCCTCATAGTGTATCTTCAAACACAGAACGTCATCATCCCCCCACCCCTCCCAGCAGCAGAGTAGTAGTAGTAGTAGTAGTAGTAGTAGTAGTAGTAGTAGTAGTAGTAGTAGTAGTAGTAGTAGTAGTAGTAGTAGTAGTAGTAGTAGTAGTAGTAGTAGTATAATAATAGTAGTAGTAGTAGTAGTAGTAGTAGTAGTAGTAGTAGTATGGTAGTAGTAGTAGTAGTAGTAGTAGTAGTAGTAGTAGTAGTAGTAGTAGTAGTAGTAGTAGTAGTAGTAGTAGTAGTAGTATAAGTAGTAGTAGTAGTAGTAGTAGTAGTAGTAGTAGTAGTAGTAGTAGTAGTAGTAGTAGTAGTAGTAGTAGTAGTAGTAGTAGTGTAGTAGTAGTAGTAGTAGTAGTAGTAGTAGTAGTGTCGCGGTAGTAGTGGTAGTGGTAGTGGTAGTGGTGGTAGTGGTAGTGGTAGTGGTAGTGGTAGTGGTAGTGGTAGTGGTAGTGGTAGTGGCAGCGGTAGCGGTAGTGGTAGTGGTAGCGGTAGCGGTAGTGGTAGTGGTAGTGGTAGTGGTGGTAGTGGTAGTAGTGGTAGTAGTGGTAGTAGTGGTAGTAGTGGTAGTAGTGGTAGTAGTGGTAGTAGTGGTAGTAGTGGTAGTAGTAGTAGTAGTAGTTGTGGTGGTGGTGGTGGTGGGGGTAGTGGTAGTGGTAGTGGTAGTGAAGTGGTAGTGGTAGTAGCAGCAGCAGCAGCAGCAGCAGTAGCAGTAGCAGCAGCAGTAGCAGTAGCCGTAGCCGTAGCAGCAGCAGCAGCAGCAGCAGTAGTAGTAGCAGTAGCCACAGCAGCAGCAGTAGTAGCAGCAGTAACAGTAGCGGGACCGGAAGCGGTAGCAGTAGCAGTAACAGGAATCATCAACATAGCAGTGGTGCCCAGGATATTCTCCCCTCGCCCACGCAAAAACAAAAAAGCGTGGCTTCCCTCTGGGCTGTCCTTGTGCTCATAGAGCCGAGGTAGGCCCTGGCAAGTGTAGAAGTTCAGGAGCAGCTCGTGAGACCAGTCTCCATGCAGCCGCCCACCTCTCATTAAGTTTCCTTATCGAAATGAATATTGTAGACCCTAAACCCTTATCCCTAAACCGTGTTGTTGTTGATTGTTTTTTGTCTTTGTTCCTTAATTCGTTCTTCAGACCCAAACCCTTCAAATTTAGCCCCAGGCCTGCACGTCAACCCCCGATCTGGGGAACTTACGTCAAGTTACCACAATAAAGAGAATAAACTCTACAAGTCCCGATTATGGTAAGTTACCCTAAGCAACGCAATTCCTTAACAAGAACCCAGCAATCCTACACACTTAACCTGAACGTAAACCCCGAATGCCAAACCCTAAGCCCTGAACCTAAACACTTAACCCTGGACCATAAACTCTGAACCTTAATTTCAGCATGGGCTTGGATTGTATGCCAGCAAACACTCACAGCAAACTTAAACCGCTTTTTTTGAGCACGGCCTTTGGTTGTATGCCGGCAAGCTGGGCTCTCAAGGTCTTCATGAGATACAAACTTAAACCGCTAAACCCCAAACTCTGAACCCTAACCCCTAAAGTCTGAACCCTAAACCCCTAAACCCTAAACTCTGAACCCTAAACCCCTAAACTCTGAACCCTGAACCTTCAACCCTAAACCTTACCTTCAAACCCGACAGTCCGTGCTTCGCCTGCTCTGGTCTGCAGGAGCCGGTGCATTTCCAGCGCCGCGCGGCACAGCAGCGCCTTGAGCCTATTGAGCTTTTATCGTAGCTTATACAGTATGCGGGGTATTATATATTATGCATAGTAGGTAAAATACGTATTAGTTATATTAATATATTAGACATTATATCTTATAATATACTAAAGCTTCTTGGAGGGTTTCTGACAATCCTGTGATTGAAGGGATAGATACTTCAGTCGGGATTCTTAAGCTCACGGGTTTCGAGGCATTTATGCTGCCTTAAGGCTCGGGGTCGAAAAGGAAGATTCGGGAAATTAATGGTCCCGTACTAATCGCCGGGTGCTTGTATTAAGGATCCATCTATACGACTCCTCATCTTCTGAATGAACCTTCTTCGGCTCCCGAAAAGCTGTGGGTTTGGGGTGGCTGGGGCTTGGAAATTAGAACATGGTTCCTTGTTGGTGCGGTTTACGGCGCTTGATTCGGCAGGTTTTCGGCTGTTAGGGTTTCGAAGGCCTTCGGGCTTAGAGTTTACGGCTCTGGTGTTCTAGGACGGAAGTCGGAGAAAGTGTCTATGGTTGGGGTTTTGAGGTGTAGGGTGTCGGGTTTGTCATCTGCACTTGTATGAGAGGACATAACATTTAGGCCTCAATGTTTTACACTGACTCTCGGCAGGGTATACTTTACTATAACGATGAAAAGGAATGCTAAGCACTTATCCTACTAATGACACGGGCTCTGTACCGCGTGTAAGACGGGGAGTCTCGGATGGCACGTCCCTGTTTCGTGACGGGGTTGGCGAGACAAGGCTCTAGAAACCCCGTCGGCCTTCTTCACTTGCGGCCAGGCCGAGGCGGACGACGTTAAGTTTCAAGGCATTCTACACTGTGGCAACACAAGGGGATATTCTTCCTAATTACTCGCTGTGTAAACCCTGCACCGAGCCCTTCGAAGCTTCGGGTTCCGGGAAAAACCCCAAACTCTACCTCCTTAACCCCAAACCCTAGACCTAAACCCCTAAACCCTAAACCTGAACCCTTCAACTCCGAAACCCCTATAACCCCTAAGCCGATAACCCTACATTTGAATATTTCGTTCCGGGGGGAGCAGAGCCCAGCCCTGAAAATCCTAGCAGTTTGCGAGCCCAGGTGGCTGAGCGCTGCAATGCGGAAGGCTCCGTGGCGCACCGGGCTCCTTCAACATGTAGGATTTGGGGTGAGGGAGCTTTCGGGTGTAGAGGTTTAGGGTTTGGTTGGGTATGTGGTCGTAAGGTTTCGAGTTCAGGGTTTATATACGGGTTTGCGGGGATCGGCTGCGAGACTATAGGGGTTGGCTTTTGGCTTGCTCTGCTTGCACGTGCGAGCTGTAAATATTAAATCCTGACCCTAGCAATCGGGGCATCTTTCGTCTGATTTTCAGAGCCCGTCTTCCAGATGTGTTGGATTTCCCGAATTGTTCGATGGCTTCGGGTTGAGGTTGCGTGATTCGGGGTTGCAGATAAAGGCCCCCTAAAAACAGCGGGTTGCTCTTCCGGGATCTGGAGTTAACGGGATCTTCCCCAGTTAAAGGATTTGGGGATTTCTTCGTCCTTGCCCTCGTCCGGAATGCCCAGCAGCGGTCGGCCGTGACGATCGCACGCGCCCGCTAGCAGATCGACCTCAGGGTTAAGAGGATCTTGGGGGAATACCATGCCTGCTGTCACCCCCAGCTGGCTTTAGTGATGTCTGGCTTTTGGGGCATACACTTGCAGGTGAATATAACAAGTCTGAGACGGCTGACGCTACAACATGCTTGCTTCAGCTTGAAACTGCCAGATGTCAATTAACGTTCCCGGACTTCGGCCTAAATACGCAGAATAGGGTGTGGGGTCATTACATTTAATGGCTTCACTACACGGTGAATATATCACCTAAACCCTCGAGGCGGGGTACACATTAGGGTTCGGGGTCCAGGCTGTGTTCAGGTTGCACTTCGTGACATGGGCTTCTCTGACACTCAGGTTCGGGCTGTTGATTTAGGCTTGCAGCTTTGACTTTGATGTGGAAACAATGATAATGCCTGTACCATGCTTCGGAAACCTTCGCCGTGTCAGGGCTCTTCCTCGGCCCATGATTGCGCATGGCTTGCCTTGAGGTCTGCTATGCCATCTTGACATGCGTGGCTGATCATGTGCAGCTCTTGGGCTAAAGATCCGAAAGACTTCTACGGGTATGAGCGACTACGATTTCAGGTCCTGGGCTGAGCTTGGGAAGAGGGCATTGGCTGGAGAAGTAATCTTGCATGAAAACCACATGCATTCCGAGTTGCCTCCCCAAACGCTTGCGTGCAATATCTCCACCGGCCAAGAGCTGTCGGGCTCATGAGACACTGAAGCCTTAGTCAGACTTGATGGCGACAAGCGCAGTTACAACCCGCAGACCTTGCACCCACGATGTTTGCAAAACGTACTTTGCTCTGGCAACATCTGGCAACCCGTTAGAGCCCCGCTCCGAGTGGGCCATTCCTCGCTGGAGCTTCCGGCCCTGTTTCACAAAGGAGCCATGCTCCTTCCATAGATCCCAACCCAGAATATGTACACTATACCGCACACTAACCCAAACCTACACCCCCGGAAAGACCACACCGACTGGAGATTCTTTTGGGGTAGGTACATTTTCGATTCTATACGCACACATAAGTCTTATAATACATACATGTGGAAGAAGAGAGGTGTTAGTGTTCGTGTGTGTGTGTGTGCGTACATACGCACGTACGTACCTGGGTATGCATGTACGTGTGTGCACAGATGCCTTGTGCACATATTACATATGTGTGTATGTACAAAAACACGCATGCATACATATAGGTATACACCTATAGATAGAGCCTAACAGGGGACATGGATAATTTTTGTATTCTTCAGACCGACAGACGACCCAAAGGATGTGGAGTCCGTGGATGAAGCAGGGGCCAATTTCGCGGCCGCGAGCCTGGTAGCAGGTTCGCAGATTCTGTGAGGGTTCTACGGTTCGGGGTTTCGGTTGTTTGACTGGGCAAGAGTATTCTTGGAAACCTCCGTTGCAGGCTGGCAGGAACCTATGAGCAAAAGAAGCAATGACCAGCAGAAGAACAAAGCCAAATACCAACCATCATCCGGATGGACTCTAATATGAACCAAACAGCAAGGCAACAAACGCCCAAGTCTAAGACCATAAACCCTAAACCCTACACCCTAAACCTGAACCCTAAACCCTAAACTCTAAAGCCAAGTAAACATGAAAGAGCAAACTTAGGGCTCGAAGGGCTCGAAGCTCCTAAGCGTCGAGGAGTGACCGGAGTCCTGCAGCTTGAACTGCTACTGTCCAGGCGTGGGGTTCGCGGCTCTTGGTTTAAGAGTCGAATGGTTTAGAGTATAAGGTGGGAGTTTCCGAAAATAGGGGAAACCTACTATAGTACCCCAAATAGTAGGATCCTTATTATAAGGACCCCAAAATAAGGTACCCCCCTTATTTTCGGAAACTCTCAGGTTGCCTAAGCAAGAAACCAACGACCGATTCCCGTACATGTCTAAGCCTGCCAGCGAGATACAAAACCCGGCTATCCAAGCTACCCTGCTACAAATGCAGGATTAAAACAGCACGCTACTAGACCATTATAGCCAGTATAGCTATGCTCAATACTTATCTTTGCAGTCCTTCTGCTCCTGATCCTTCTTCTCACTCGTATCCCCAATGCTGCAACTCTCCACCTCTAGAACTTGAAACTCCCCGTCTCTAGACCCTTCGAATCTGCGGCAGCTGAGGCGGCAAAATTGAAAATCTGAAATCCGAAACCTACGTCTGGGTTTAGGGTTTACCGAACACCTTCAGAAGTCTCAGTCACTCAAGGCACCTCGTGCAGCCATGTTGGGTTCGGACTGCTTCTAGCCCTCCCTGAACCCAAACCCTTTTAGCCTCAACAGCTTAAAACCCTGCACCTATCGATGTCACGCATCCCCACCTAGACCCTAAACCCTAAACTTCCCTAAACCATAGTAAGAAGTCTTGAGCCCCCATGCACCATGCAGGCCGTGCCTCAGAGGTTTGACCTATCGCGGACACAGAAACGGGAGATCCCATGACGAGGAAGTAGCATATAGTATAGGGGCCTTAGTAGTAAGAATAGGGTTTGTGAGCGGATATGATACTATATATTTAGTCCGGGACCCTAAAGACTGGAAATGCTCAGATTATGGACACTCAACTATTAAATGCAGATGCAGTTACATGTATGTACATGTACATGTGTTTGTACACGCACATGTGCATTCAAAAACAAGCAGGCACAACCATATGCACCTGTCAAACATTATACATATGTACACATGTACATGCGCGTATAAATACATTACATATGTATACATATATATATATATATATATATATATATGTATGTATGTATGTATGTATGTGTGTGTAAGTATATGTATACAGACGCATACACTACAGGATTGGAAATTATCTCTGCGCGCACATCGATATCACTGACCTCTCGGACTTTCTCCAAAGTATCTGCGACGGGTCAGAATCTGTTCACGCGCGAAGGCGTTAATGATCAATCAAACCCCGGCGCCGTGAGCGGAGAAGACTGCGTTTGCATGATTCGGCATGTGCAAGTGTGCACGGGCGTTGGGCCATGCTCTTTACACTCTCATAATTCGGACAATCCATGCGAGGTCCATCGAGCGTAGTCGGCACGCTTGGGTTTCGGATTAGGGGGGTTTGGGAGTTTCGGTCGTTCCATCTGTGGGATTTCGCAATGCTCGACGTCTACATTCAGACCTAAATGGCCCCTGCAGCCCAAAACCTCAAGCCTCCAGGCTTCAAGACCCAAAAACCCTTATAGCTGTTCATCCGACACGCAAACAAGAATACTGTTAACCAGCATCCTAAACCCTATCACAAAAACTTTCCTTTTAGAGGGCCGCCAGCCCGCAGCCTTGTGAATGAGCTTTGCTACCACTCCGGCAGCTCGTTCAGGAAGTGGCACCATAGGCAGTGGTGCGCGTGGGATCCGAGGCATGGAACAATTAAGGATTAGGGCTTGGGGCTTCGGGTTTGGGGTTTGAGGGTTTTGGGGTTTTGGGCTGAGGGTAAACGTTAGGGTCTATGGTACGGCGTTACGCTTCAGGGTTGTGTGGTGTATGTTGCTGGTGAGTGAGTGTGATAGGGCGTCAGTCTTGTCGCCCATCAATGAACATGTTGCCACACCTAGCTTTGTTGCTTCGCAGACCCATGATTTCATGCACCTCCTACCTGAAACAGGATTGGCTTAGGGCATAGGGATCTAATGTAGACCCCTGCACCTGATTCATAAACCTCTACCTTATAAAATGGTTTAGGATCCAAATCCAAGTCTAATGAGGGCTTTACATTACGTATGAAACTTCGAGTGGGCTCCTACATTGATGCACGGTTCTGGTAGTGCGAGCACGATATGCAAGCCTCGAGATTTCCAACACTCCTTAGAACAGCCGGATTTCCGAAAGCCGCGAGAGCTTGGGGGTATGTTATATAGCATAGATGCAATAGGAATGCGGAACCCCGTGCAATCATCCTGGTAAGTGCCCAGGCTTCTATAGAACACCTGCGCACCCAGAGGAGACGAAGCTCAGCTCCTTGGAGTTTAGCTTCCTTTAAGAGATTTTTTTAAGGAAGCCCTGCATAGATCCTTGAAAAGTAAGAAGCCCTGCATAGACATAGATCCTTTAAAGGGTTCCTGCAAGGGATCGAAAGGGCTTAGGGTGCAGGGTTTCAGCCTAAGTCAGGGCCTTAATCATTGGACCGGGGTTGGGAGGGCCTAACATAATTCTATAGGGACTATACACGGGAATCATGCTAGGACTGCCTATCAAAACAGCTCATGTTATAATCGCCTCATACCTAATCTGAGAGCCCCGTACAGCGTCGAAACCTCAAGCCTTTTCCATATGGACTGCACCTGTCAGCCCCAAACACCACTCAACCGTAATCATCCTCGGAAACCTTCAAAACCTAAAGGCCTTGAATCCTGAATCCAAAAGCACCAATAAATCCATCGGAGGGTCTAAAAACCCTAAACTTAAAATCCCCCAAACCCTGCAAAAAAGAAACTAAACTAAAAACCCTAAAACCTTAAATCCGCAAAAACCCTAAAGCTTAAATCCCAAAAGAAACCCGACAGGTGGGCTCTGTTTTCTTCTTTGGGCTCGCACACGTACCCGAAGATCCGAGTCGCCTCGGGGATTGCTAAGGGTTTAGTATATTAGGATATTCGGGCTTTAAGGGTTTAGGGTTTCGGGCTTAGGGTGTTAGGGTGTTAGGGTGTTTAGGGTTTTGCGGTGTTTAGGAAATTAGGGTGTTTACGCTCTCGCAACTCGGACAATCCACAAATTAGGGTGTTTAGGGTTTAGGGTATTAGGATATTAGGGTCATAGGGGTTTAGGGTTTCGGGCTTGGGGTTTATTTGGGGCTTAAGGTTCGGGGTTTAGGGTTTAGGTGTAGGGTGTAGGGTCGGGGCTCCTTTAAAGACTCAGGGCTTCAAGGATGTGTCTAGTGTTGAAGGTTTGAAGCGGTCTTTGTTGTACAAACCCCTAGTATGTTGATACACAGTGCTATTTCAGTAAGGGTGTTCAGGGCCACTGTGGGTGAGTTCGGCGTTTGAAGGGAGTGTACTCTGACCACGCATCTTACCAAGACAAGGATCTTCAGTGTAGAAACCCATCACTCGGATTCACTTGGTGTACAGAGGTTCACGGCTCGGCACTTATAACACCGAAGCCGAAGCCGAACAAACCTTAGCCTGGCAAGCCGCGGGCTATCTTGGTAGTACGTCGTAGGTTCTCGCGGTGGATGTGCTGCAAGACGCGCAAACATCAGAGTTGTCTAGGTTGAGTAATTCGGCAGGACGCTTGCAATGGAGATTCGGAACGAGAGATTTAGCCCATCGGCAGAGACAGCTATCTTCTTGATTTGAACCTTGCTTCAAGACTTCAGTTTTAGTAGCATAAGACCACCTCAAGGAATCTGTGTTTACTTCTTGGCTTGGCTCACTATGAAAAAAGCCTTAAGCGCTTGTAGTAACTTTAAGTATGCTCGCCAATACCCCGTTAACAGAGACCATCACTTTTGGAACCCTAAACCCAGAGATTCCAAAACCCCTTAAGGAATATACTTTAACTGATATTAGCCTCCTACTCTAAAATTAGGGATGCTCCTTAATTAAGGGGGGAGCTTCCGAAAACTAGGGGTACCTTATTTGGGGTCTTCATAATAAGGATCCTACTATTTAGGGTACTATATTAGGGTCCCCTATTTTCGGAAACTTTCAGGGGTTTGGGAGTCTCTGGAAACCCTGACCCCAGTTGTTTGCTGGGCCTCAGATCTCACCTTCGGCAGGTCCACCAGAGTCGCTGGGCTTAGCACCAAAGGCACCTTCATGGGCGGTTTCGGAGGTGATGTAGATACGAATGTGTGTGTTTACATACATATATGTGTATATGTACATATTCTTATTCATACATATATATATATATATATATGTCTATACACACATACACATGCCTATACATGTGTTTGCCGTTATAATATGCACTTACGTATATACATCGCAGATCAGACAAACAAATACGAAATCACTGCACAGCCCAGATAAAAGGTTAGAAGTTAGAAGTATGGGCCCATACTACGGTTGATGATATAAATCCTGCATTACCCATAACAACGAATATACCATAATTCGCATACTTTAGGGTCCTATGGTAATGCAGGATTTATATCATCAACAGAAGGGGCCCATGGTTTCAGCCTTAGGCCTAAACTCTAAACAGTTCAGCTTAGGGCGCTCGCTCTCGTTTCCCGGTAAAGTCTTGGACTCTTGCAGCTCGGCTATGCAGGCGACGACTGTTAGGGTGTAGGGTTAAGGGGTTGGGTCGGTCTCCTTCTGAATGCCTGGAGCCCCCGCTAAGGCGAAAACTAGATTGGCTCGAATATACAGATCAAAGAATTTAAATAGACAGGTCCTGCGGCGATCGGTATGAAAAGAAACACGCACACCCCACACATGCACTAGAACCCTAAACCCCAAAACCCTAACCCCGAAACCCTACACCCTAAACTCTAAATCTGTCTGCAGATGTAAATACATATTGCTTGTTTCTAAATCTATGTCTACATTATACAATATCTGAGGACCTACGCCCCAAACCCGGCATTAGGCCCTAAACCAGTTTATCACAATAACTGAAACCAACCTAAACAGCGGCTAAGCTGAATAAGGGGATCCGGTTTGTTTTTTCCATCGTTGTTCAGCTGGTTGTTGCATCTGTTTTGACAAATCTGTCCATCCAATAGGGTTACAATTCGAGGCCTTATATAAGCCAGCTGTGAATTCCCCAATACGTTACATAGTATCCATGCCAGGAAACTGGCGGAAAGATTTCAAAGGGTTCTACCAAAACCCTCCAACTCTAAGCACAGAGACCCTAGGCTTCAGACCCCTATATGGGAGTTTCCGAAAATTAGGGGTACCTTATTTGGGGTCCTTACAATAAGGATAAGGATCCTCCTATTTAAGGTTCTATATTAGGGTCCCCTATTTTCGGAAACTCCCATATAAACCCGACTGCCCCTGGACCCAAAAACTGTAAACCCTAGAAGCCAAAACTCTCCAGGGCACTCTCACTGGAACCCTTAATTTCACGAAACACTACGCCGTATAAACCCCACGGTGAACCCTGCACCCTAGAATCCAACACCCAACCATGCAAACTCTATAAGCCCGCTACACCCTCTAAACCCTCAAACCCCAAGAAACCCCCTAAAAACCTAAAACCAAAAAAAAACCAAGAAACCCCAGGAAATTCCAAGAAATATCAAGAACACCCCAGAAAACCCTAGAACATGCCAAAAAACACACACAAGAAAACCTAAGAAATCTCTAGAACCCAAGACAACCCAACAAAGACCAATAAAACCCAGCAAAAACCTTGAAAATGCCCAAAACAAACACCAGACAACCCAAGAAATCCCTAGAACCCAAAATCACCCCGAGGAACCTGGAGGTCGTCTTCCGGGTCGCCGTCCTCGTCCGGCACCTCTTGGAAGCCCAGCGCCTGAGCTCCGCGTTCTTTTTTGGTTTAGGGTTTCATCCTCTTAGGCGTTTAGGGTTTATAGGGTTTAGGGGTTTAGAGGGTTTAGGATTTAAGGTTTAGGGTTTAGGGTTTTTTTCCCTTTAGGGTTTAGGATTTCGGCACAGGGTTTAGGGTTTAAGGGTTTAGGGTTTAGGATTCAGGGTTTGGGGTTTAGGGTTTAAGGGTTTAGGGCCGTTCTTTAGGGTTTGGGGTTTGGTGTTTTGTTGCCTGCTGCATGGCTGTTCTGTGGATTTACCGGGGGGTTTAGGGCTTAGGGTTTGCGGGCTCTTTTGCCTCCAACCCTGGAGCAGCACAATTACTCCCAAAACCATGGTGGTTTGTGGTGTCGACGCTCACACTCGCACAAGGCAGGCAAGGCTCCGGTTTAGCATGTTTGCTCACGACAACTGGGTTCAAAGAAGGAAGAGTCAGGAGCCCAACTAATCGACATGTTCACCGCCAGCCCACACATATTTTGGCGTAGAAGTGGCACCACCACTTGCTATGTTGCATTTATGGTGTTGATATGGGTAGTTGTCAAAACTATGATCCCTAATTTGGTACCCTAAATAATAGGTGCCGTACCATAATAGGGACCCAAAAAGGGGCGTTAATTTTGACAACCACCCATGTGGCTATGAGAGGGTTTCATGGGATCCTGCGGCGTTTGATTGGAATTATGGGTTAGGGTAATTTGGGGTTTGGCACCAAACCAGTGTAGCCGATGGGTAGGTAGCTCACCACGGTCACCACAAGGCCCGAATCCCGTATGATTGGCAGTATATTCCGTGTGCTTTCCCTAGTGCAGCGAGGGCAGCCCTTTGCGCTGCCATTTCACGATTTTGAGGCGAGAAACTTAGGATCTAAACCCTTTTTGAGCAGGACTGCTATGACAAAAATGCTCTGCTAAGTC